ATCAAATTATAAAGTTATCAAAATGAAACCAAATCCTAACTCTCTGTTTCTGTTTGGCTCACGAGAAAATGCTAGAAAGTTATCAAATGAACATAAAACATGAAATTGTAGAAAAGTAAATGGAAGTGAAGCGCGAAAAAGAGCGGGAAGGCCGATGGAAATCATGATTCTGCCGAGTAAAAAGGCAAACATCAGATAAAATAACAGAGCAAAAATAGAAAACAAAAGTCAAATCCTAACTCTCTGTTTCTGTTCGGTTTGCAAGCAAATGCGAGAAAGTTATCAAATAAAAAATTTGAGAGAAATAAATGAAATCGCGAAGCGTGAAAAACAGCAGGAAAGCCATCGACGTCCGGACCGGAGGTGATCGACGACGGCGAGAAACATGATTCCGCTAACTTAGCCAAAGACGAAGAAAAAGAAACAGAGCAACATTGCTTAAAATCGAAGAAAAGTTTTAGAAATGGAAAGGATCACAACGAAGAAGAAGAGATATGGAGAAAGGATTCGTATGCATGAAAGTAGTAAGAATATAGAAAGATGAGAGAAAAGGAAAGTACGCCAAGGAGGAGAACTGGCGACGCAGAAATCGACGCCAGGGAGCTGCTCTTTGACAGGGTGAGGACCGGGCTCGTCCGCCTTTCCTCCGCCATGGCCGGCTGCCATGTTTGATCAGTGTGTGTGTTTGGGAGCAGAGTGTGGTTTATGATGATTTTCCCTCCATATTTGTATGGGTGATGACAGGGGCAGGGGGAGTGTGAGTGAGACAAGTTAGGCGGCGTTCGTTATGACTACCGCTCCCATATTTCTTTGTTTTTTCAAAATGAGTTTTTTTTTTCTAACTCTTTTGTTTTTCGTAGTGATATTAAATCCAATTAATTTAAAATTAACTCACATAAAATTTTATTTAATTTTTTTTAATATTTATTTTTATATTTATAAAATTATATTTAATATTTTATTTTTATTTTTTTATCCATCAAAATCCAAATTTAACACTTTTTTTTATAAGAGTTATGATTAAAAAATTAATAAATTAATTATTAATAATTGATTCTCAGATTTGGTGAATATTTCACCTTTCAAATAAAGTGCATAGTTATCATGTCCTTTTTTAGTAGAATTTACGACGGTAATAGAATTCAAAACTCTAATCATTTTACTCAAACACTTAAAATTTGAAATCGAACCATTAAATTTAAAGTTTCGATTCCAAATTTAACACTTTATCTAAAATAAATCGAGTCTCTTCCGTCAAACAAACAGATTATTGATAAATGAAATT